ACCCTAGTAGCGATGGCCTCCACCCTAGTAGCGATGGCCTCCAACCTAAGAGCGATGGCCTCCCCCTCTGCCACTGTTGGAAAAAAACGTTAAAACAAAAACTTTAAGGAACCTAGTAGCGATGGCCTCCACCCTAGTAGCGATGGCCCTTTAAGGAACCTAGTAGCGATGGCCTCCACCCTAGTAGCGATGGCCTCCAACCTAAGAGCGATGGCCTCCACCTGTTGTGCAACTTTGAGATTTTCCAAAGGGAAGAACAAAGCCCACCCGCCCCTTTTGTTACTCTTATACTGAAGCAGCCTATTCAACATTGTTACACACATTACCGCCTTTTTGTCTTGGCAACAATTCATGACCTAGCTTGCGAGACTTGTGGGCCTCGCAAACTGCCAGTGAAGTTCCAGCGAATAAACCAACAGCCAGGCAATGGTGCCTTCGCTCCGCAAACGACCTAACGGTTACCAACGACACCCCACGACTATGGAGATGTTGAATGTTGATTTCTGGAGACAGGTACAGCATGACATGCTGCTTGTGCCACACCATTGGGGATGTCAAGCAGTGCACAGGACAATCCGTCATCTTCTCATTGCATTGCATCTCTTTGAGGGATCATGAAAGAAAATATATTCGCATTGAATCCAACCACTGCACATTCCTCCTACCATTGAAAGCAGGCTCAAGACCCAAGACCATAGGAGGAAGCGGAGGTTCAATCACTCATCAACAACCCTCATCAATCCACACTCTCCCAGTGGTGCTGCGATCTGAAAGTAGTGCGGGCTGATGCCAAAGCTCTGCGCCATAATCTCATGATCGAAGGCTCTACGCACTACGAGGCTTCAAGAACTCGATCTGACTCAATCTCGTGACACTACAGGGCTGTGTCAAAATCCAAGGGTTGTATGCTTTAAAGGTACTTGACGAGGTATGAATCAACACTTTTGATTGCAATGCTGGTGATGTTACATGCATTCGTGCTGTGCTTGAAGGTCAGGATGGGGACTGAAAATATAGCTATGGAAATTGAAGCAAGTGTGGAACAAAAACTGAAGGGTCGTGATCCGTTTCCAACAGCAAACAAACATTTGTATTGAGCAAATACCAAGAATTGCAAATTAGCAAGATCTTCAATTTTCAATGTTTGGAGTGTCTGGCAATTCTTTGGGCTGGACCTTCAATATCATACTGTCTGAGTTATTCTTTATATAGTCTTTTCTCAGTTCTGCACCTTGGACATAAAGCCCATTCCAAAGGAGCCCAAGACTCCTAAGCACCACGGACGGACCGCGCAAAAATTTCGTAAAAGAATGCGTGTGCAGAATAATATTCTTGAGAGCTCCAAACTATATAACTGGTACCTGGTGACCACCTGAGGCATTGTGCTGCTCTTAGGTTGGAGGCCATCGCTATTAGGCTTGAGGCCATTGCTATTGGGGTTGGAAAAAGCTGCCAGAGATTTTAAACTGGGGCTCCCTGCCCAGCATGGTGCCCTATGCCGTACAACCAGCCAGGTGGATAGACTTTTGTTGAGCAAGTATGAGCAAGTATTCTGGCCACTTTCGCCCTCGGAAAACACTATCTTCGTCCATCCTCATTTTTCATACTAATCATGAGCATTGTTGCGAGCCCCTCGTGATTACAGCTCACCTGCTCAATGACAAACTATGACAAACTGCAATGTCTGCAATTCCATCATTGCCAAATAGCTCTGGTCTGCCACAATGCGGAAAGCCAGGAATGATGAATAACATTGAATAACATGGCATCCCTGGATCTCGTCTCAATCAACCAGCTCTCCAAGATTGTTCTGCTTTCTGTGCGAGCCAAAGAAAAGGCATGCAAAGGGCAAAGTCACTGCAATTCCACGCCACAAGTTCTGCTGATAGGGTTGCTCTTTGTCATTGGTATCGTGGCATTATGCATACAATGTCTGATCTGATGGCAAGTTTGTTCCTCTCAAGGATGGCAACCTACATGATATGCAAAGTGAATACAGTAGTCGATCACATGCCTTTTCCTCTTGCTACCTATCCTTTTCTGATCGCCATCGAACAATCTCTTCGGATTCTCAGCGTCCACTCTTCTTCTTGCGCTTGATCAGGATCAACCTGAAGTGTCATTCTTTGACAAGAGGATGTTAGCAAGAAGCTACTTAGTAACAAGGGCATCGCTACTAGGATCAAGTGCATTACTACAGCAAGAAGCGGCTAGTGACATGGATTGACTTTAAGATATTTAAAGCAGAGGTTAGTCACACATCTTGCAATTGCTTTCAACCTTTTTGAGCACGGTGCCTGTCAGAGCCTTGGGACCGCCTGGTAAACATACCATGAGCACACCTCAAAGAAAAAAGAACACACACGAACCAAACAATTCAAGCAAGGGCTTGCAAGTGCCAACTCTACACCGCAACACAATCCTTCCATCAAAATCCTACTCTCACCAGTCAAACAATGCGTCCCAAAAATGTCAACCAAACCAACTAGCGCCAGGGTCCCTGCTTTCCCCACTTGGTCTTTGGATGGACATGACCGATGGGCGACCTGGACCCGTCGCAACACATCGGACATGTGCTCCTTGATTCAAGCTGTGCAAGACATTCTCATTCAACGCTACTAGGTTGAAGGCCATCGCTTCTAAGTTGAAGGCCATCACTATTAGGTTGGAGGCCATCGCTTCTAGGTTGGAGGCCGGTTGGAGGCCATCACTATTAGGTTG